CATGCAGGTCCCATCCCCAGGGCATGCTGAGCAGTAGATTGAGACTGGGCGTGGTGGTACATGCCTGTAATCCCAGCTCTTGGGAGGCTGTAAACAGGAGAATCACTAGGAGTTGGATCTAGTAGCGAGACTCTGAACACCCTGTAGACCCTTCCCTACAATACAGGAAAAAAAAAGAATATGAGAAATGTCCTAGAAAGTGTAATTCAATAGTTGCTATATGATCATCTAGCAAAATTGTGCTGAAGTAGAGAATTCCTTAAGGAAACTAAGCAATTTTTACATTCCAGAGAACACCTGAAGGGACCTAATTTTCAAATTAGAAATACTGTAGTACCTCACTATTTCATGGTTTGACTTTCGTGGACTCACTATGTCATGAGTTTTCAAAAAATATTTAAAGTATTTATCACAGATTTTTCACTATATTGCAGGATTTTGCTCTAGAATACAGTACTGTATATGTATTTATATGCATAGTAGTATTTGTGGTTTTAATGATTTTTGCCTAAAAATTTTTTAAATCTATAAAAATATATTAAAAATGTTAGTTGTAATATCAAAAGAATATTAAATTGAAATAAAAGATTGTTTACAGTATTTCTTTAGCAGATGAATATACTGTACAGTATGGTATGCATACATTAAAATTACATAAGTTTACGAGTTTAGAAAATGGTTAAGAACATTAGAAGTGTTTTTCAAAGTGTGGGAAAGGTTTCTAAGAGTGGGGGAAGGGTTTGTAAAGCCTTAAAATATATATAAATACTAATGTCAATATAATAAAGCTACTTCACTGATGTTCATTTATTGTGGGGGTATCTGGAATGTACCTTCCTAAGGAAGGTATACAGAAACCTTTAAGAAATTTTACAGTACTATAATTGATTGGATGGGTATATTAAAATTATATAAAAAGTAGTTTGCTTTTACATCAATTATATAAAAGCTTCAACCAAGTCATTGTTTTCTTTATGTTCCTGGCTATACCGTTCACATATGTTAGAGTCAATAATTAGATAACTATTTTTAGTTTTATGAAGTGTAATATTTCTAGGCTGAACCAGAAATACCCTAATGCAGTTCTTGTGTCCAGGTCACATCATACTGAGTTGGCCTAGTCATGCCTGATACCTGTAAACCTTGACAATTTTTCCTTTAATAAAGTACATATAGGTATATTTACTTGGTCTTTTATTTAAGAACATGAAAATAAATGCAAGAGCATTTGAACTGTTTTATTTGTAGCAGTTTTACATAGCTAATGGCACTGTCATTAAAATATTTTAGTAAAGAGGAATTGTTTTTGTCAGGCAGGCATTGTACCACTAAGTTAAACCCTCAACCCCTTGAATTGTTTTTAGAAATAATTATAAAAAGTATAATGAAATTAATATAATTAAATAAAATTTCCTCTTTTACAGTGTGAAGGCCTATAGGAAAAATGTTTTGGCAAAATGTGTATGTATCCAGCTGCACTTATTCTACTTTGTAGTATGTCTGTTTTATGGTTTTAAAATCAAAGGGGACATGATTATACTGACTTTTTTGTATGCCCTTTTTTCTTTTTAAGTAGTAAGTAAAATTCAGCTTGGCCATAGTAATTCATTCATTTTGGCTGTTATTAAGCATGTTCTTGTTTTTTTTAACAGTTAACTACATTATCTGGGCAACATTTTTTTTAACATTTATTTATTTAGTGTGTGTGTGTGTGTGTGTCTGTGTGTGTATGTGACCAGCTCAGCCCACCACGGGGCGGGGCTGGCTGGCATGTGGTGCTGGGGGATCGAACTGCGGTCCCTGTGCTTTGCCAACCTTGTTCCAAGTAGGTGCTTTAGACCACTGAGCCATCTCGCCAGCCCCACATTTTTTTTTATTTAATGTGTAATGAATAAGTTTAGAGATGACTATTGGTGCCAGACTCAGTAAGGATAAGCACCTGCCTGGCAAGCACAAGGTCCTGAGTTCTATCCCCGGTCCCCACCCCCCTCCCCAAAAAAGACTATTACAGTGGGAACATGTTATTGGTAGCTATCACTCCTATATTGCTTTGTCAGAGTTTGCTCTCAGTTATTTCGATTTATTAAATCAGTTAACTGATTTTTTTTTAAATGCTTAACATTAGCTTATCCCTCAATTACGACACTGTAAAGAGTATAGCTATACAATCCAAAATTTTAAGCTGAGTCAATAAATACAAATAAAGCCTTTGTCATTGTTTGAGCAGGTAGTTAAGGTTAGCAGAAATATCAGAGATAACTTTACAGATGTCTACTTTATGAACATATCAACATTGGTAAGGTTGTTAGATGTATATTGCTAATTCTGTGTAAGTGTATAATTATTTTTCCATGGAGTGATCTGGACTTAAATTTTTTCAAATTCTTTTTCAGTATGGTGGTGATATTACCCGAAAAATGAAACTTTTGAAGAGACAAGCAGAAGGAAAGAAAAAATTGAGAAAAATTGGCAACATTGAAGTTCCAAAAGATGCTTTTATAAAAGTTTTAAAAACAATCTAATAAATAATTCAGAATTTTCATAAATTAAAAAGTTTCATAACAATTTATAATATTTTGACAATGGAAATTTTAAAATTTGCTTTTTAGGGTTTTCAAGTTAAAAAAGAATCTATTGGTTTTTCCTTGAAAGAGAATTGTACATGGATAAGAGGATTTAGAAGACATATGTTTCCAAATTTCTCTTCTACTAATCATCTTGGCTAGATAAGCTTTGTAGAACAGTAAAATCAGGATTACACTACTTCTACAGGTTATGAAAATTAAATGATTGAATGTGTGATACGGTTAGGCACAGTGCACTTTAACTTTGTTTCTTCATGCAGGCTTAGTCCTTATGCTAAAAAGTCCTATATTGATGATTCCCTCTGGTTTAGGTGAAAAGATTTTCAAGACCACCAGAGTATCAAAGCTAGATCAATTTACTTGATATGTATGAATCATTTACTAAATTCAACATACTATTTAGACATTTGCTCTAGCTTTTGGTAAGATGCTTAGATATTTTTTCAAATGTCAGTTAAGTATAATGGTTTATATTATTACACTTCTAAGTTAAAGACTACGGAAGGTGATGTGCTCTGGCCATGAAAATGCCTTCATGCAAAATGATATGGTTTAGCAGTAGGAGTGAAACAAGGTAATTTAGCCACTGATTTTTGTCATCTACCTTGAACAAGGAAAGTTTCTTTTAGAAGACCATCAATGATGAATTTTATACTCAGTGTGTTACATTATGAGATAATTTTAATTAAAAATTAAAGAGAGCCTTTGCAGGGGTGGCACACACCTATAATCCCAGCACTCAGGAGACTGAGGCAGGAGTATCAGCTAGTTCAAGGCCATTCTGGACTAAAAGGTGAGTTCAAACCCAGCCTGATCTGCATAATGAAACTGTCTCAAAAAAGAAAGTGAGGATTTAGTATCTGTAAAGTGAAGTTTGTGGTTTCACTTATATATATACCCATGTACTTTTCCCTTCTTGCCCCAAAAGAACAGATGAAATATGAAGCTCCCTAACAGCATTTGCAAACATGGCAATGTATTTGAAACTAGGAGAATAGTTTCTAAAATGTGGTGTTCGTCCACTATTGCCAAGAAAGTCAGAAGTTAGCTGGCACATATGCGAACTGTGTTACAAAACATTTGTGGGTTTTTTTCCTTAATTTGGATAAATGTTCTCTTTTAACCTGTGACTAGGGAATTTTTTCATTAATCCTAGTACAAAATAGCATTTTTTTAGACTGATTATTTACTTCCTAGTTAATGGCACTTGAGATTGACCCAGGGGCTATAGAGCTGTATACCAAGCCCTTTGTTTGAGATATGGTCTTACAAAATTGCTAAGTCTAGTCTCAAACTTGAGATCCTCCTACCTCAGCCCTCTTGGGTAGCTGGGATCAGACTTGTGTGCTGTCACCACCAGCTTATTTCTCATATTTGAAGTCTCCTGTAGCCATTTTCTTAGATTATTATAGTGATTCAGAGCTGTGTCTTATAGGCATATAATCTTTCAGTGACTTTTTTTTTTTTTTTCGGAACTGGGGATTGAACTCAGGCCCTTGTGCTTGCCAGGGAAGTGCTAATTCCACTGAGCCATCTCCCTGGCCCCTTCAGTGACATTATGTTACTAAGAGTTCTACAGTGATCTATATGACTATTAAAGTACTTGGTATGTCAGATACTATGCTAAATTCTATAAAATCTACATAAGATTTTTTTTACACAAGGGCAGTTATTGACTGAGCTGAAATTCCAACAGTGGTTTCATTCTTCAAAAGTCAAGTTTACTGCTTCTTGGGAAATGACTTCAGTGAACTTTCAAATCCTTTGCAGCTTACCTTTTGATTTAGGGAGTTACAGAGGCCAGACTAGTTTGCTGAAGAGCTAAAGTACATGGACCTAAACTAGCTTAACAGCAGCTGTAATGAAACAAAGTATCTTTTAGAACTTTAGGGCATGGAAATAGCTGTGAGGGGTACACCAAAACACACACCTTTAGCTCTTTCACTCCAATCCTATATGACCAGATATTTGGGTTGTCTGCAATAAACTGTTACTACCAGATCCTACTAATACACTTGATTAAAAACCTTTTGTAACGCTATTAAAGTAACATTATTTTACTCTAGAAGTATTTTTATTATTTAAACTTTTTAAATTATTTTTTTTGTTTTTAGGACAGGGACTCACAGTGATCCTCCTGTTTTCAGCTTCCCAAGTGCTGGGATTACACCATGCCTAGCCTCAATCACCCCTCAGCATGCCCTGTGGGCAGGGCTGGCACAGCATACCAGGAAATTAGCTCCCTCCCCCCAGGAAGTGCTTTAGTCTGCTGAGCTATCAGGCTGGCCCTTTAATATTTTAATCATAGATTATTAAGGAAATATGTAAGGCCTTCTACAAGATGTGCTTATAAAATGTAAAACATGCAAAGGATGATGTGTGTTCTTTTATTCCCCATGGAACATAAAACTTAAAAACTATAGAGAGACTGTCTTGAAATCTCCTAACTGCATATTGGCAACAAAAGGCTCAAGTATATTGGAATTTCACAAATGTGTATATTTCACTTCTAGAAATGAAATTCAGATAACCTCATTATTAATAAGTTTATTTGAGTTAAAGATAGAAAACAATATAGATCTGTAATTCAGTTTATCACAATGTGAAAGTTTACAGTAACTATATACATTTCATAGTATCCTTTTAGACATATACAAGGAATAAAGCTGATCATTTATGAAATTTAGCAATAATCAAAATATTCTTCAAAATAATTTATATAAAGCTCATAATTGCCAAGCTATGTGTACCGTGTATATATAGATGGCATGAACCCCTAGTCATTAAAAAATAAGAGCACATCTGTAAAAAGGTGCTAAAACGGTATGCAAAAAAACATGCACTTACACATATATTCCAAAAGGGTATAAACTACTTTTAGACACTGTCATCTTGTTTCCTTTACCAACAAATGTAGCAGGACTCTGATGTCCACATACTACTGCTGAAAGATGACTAAGGCAACACCAAGCAGAAAACCTAAAGACAGCATTCTAAGAGTAAATATTTGCAATGATAGTTACATAATAAATAAAAGGCTTGGCATGTATCCCTATAATTAAAAAAATAAAAGTCTGTCATGTCACACATGGTACCTAAAGTGCACAATTTTTAATTTTAAAATGAAGCCAGCAGACATTTATTTGCTGTTTAAAGGTATGTACCTTTGTGTAATTGATAATGCACAGCCAATCAACTTTGAGCGCCAAAAATGTCATAAATCCTAGTGTAAAGTAGTTATTTTAAACATGGAATGTTTAACAGATAATGGATTTTAAAGTGGCAATTTTCAATGTTTCCCATGATTTATCATTGCATAGCTGAAAATTCATCTACTAATAAAGTGGAGTTTCCAAGTAGAATTTTGCTTCAGTCTCCTTCAGTTTCCTTCTTTCATACTGTATAGTGGATCCACAAGTTTATTGTGCACATGCATTAAACCTTGAAGAAAAAAACCACAGTTCTAGTTGTTTTTATTTTTTACCTTGTTTTAGAAAACAAAGTATTTAAAAGATACAATAGGTATATTTGGTTCTCATCTAATCTAGAGGAGTCAAGTTCATTGAAAAATGCAAATAGTAATGTTTTAAAATACTTAAGTTTTAACTACCTAGCAAATACCAGTTTATAGTTATGAAACTGCAAGTCTGAAACTTACACAGTAGTTTGGAAGTAACTAGGGTGGGAACAGTTAAGTGTTCAGAGAGCAACAATGTGACAAGATAATAACCTTGAACACATTGTTGACAATGGGTTTTAATTACATCTCAAAGTTTATAGTGCTTCAGTTAGGTGCTAGAATTGCTATCAGTACTCCAACCGTTACTCTACATTCCATTGGTAGTTATACTTTGAATACATATTTACAAAAGTGATTATAAGATTCATCACACAGGGCTGGCCAAATAGCTCAATGGATTAAAGCGCCTGCAAGCAGACACAGGCCGGCCCCGCCCCCTGGGGGGACAGTGATTGAGACTGGGCTTCCTGGCACATGCCTGTAATTCCAGCTCTTGGGAGGCCATAGGCGGATCACTGGGTCTGATCTAGTAGTGAGACCCTAAACACCCTATAGACCCTTCCTTAAAAAAAAAAAAAAAAAGTCACACAAGTAATATCAAAGCCTGTGTTAAAGTAGAAATTAAAATTTTTAAATTTTTTTTTTTTATGTATTTACTACTGGGTCTCACTACACATACTGAACTCATAGTGATCTTCCAGTTTTTCAACCTCCCAAGTAGTGGGATTACACGCATGCACCATCATGCCTAGTCTCAATTGCCCTTTCAGCTTGCCCCAGGAGTGGGGCCACCACAGCAAGCTAGGGATTGAACCTGGTCTCTGTATCTGTCTAAGGAGGCGCTTTAATCTATTGAGCTATCTGGCCAGCCTGAAATTTAAGATTTTAAGTTAAGTAGGTTTTATGCAAACAGTTAAAATTTATGTAGATCTTAATTTTATAAAGAATACATATGCTTGTGTACAGTTCTACCTATTAGACCTTACCTTTAATAGAAGTACTGACTTATTAAATATTCAAAAAGGAGTAAAACACCTTGATAAAAACCAAATTATGATAAAACTAAGACTAGTAATAAGAGGATTTACCTGGGGATTACTGGACTAGAAAACGGACTCGTTCAATGCCTTAAAAGTGATAATGAATATTGTTTGTATCAACTTCAGCTTTCATGATGAAAGCTGGAGAACTACATGGAAATACACAGGTAAAATTCCACCTGCAAACTCGGATGTTATTCACAAGTCATCACTTAGGTGCTCTCAGTTTTTACAAAGAAGCGAACAATTCCTAATCGTAATTTGACATATTTGTGGTTTGGTAAAATTCTTTAAAATATAAAAGATAATGTTACAGAAGGAAATAGTAAGTTTTGAGACATCTACATCACTATTAAAATGCTTTTGAAGAATATTTAGTCAAGAAGGAAAATGCTCACAAAACATTAAATGCAAACATAACAAAACTGTACAGCATGATGAGTCTTCTAAAATTGAGATTTTCAGTACTTGCCAAACTTCAGTGACTTATGTACCACTTTCAGTGTGCCATATTTTAATATTTACATGAACTATACGTTAATGATTAACTGAATTACAGTTTTTAAAAGTTTATGTACTATATTTCTACATAAGAATTGTTTAAATACCATCATTCTGTGTAGTGTTTACAAATAATTTATCAGGAAAGTATGACATGACACCAATTTTAAGACATCCCAATTAAAGATCAGTATGGCAGAATAGTGAAATATAGTTTCTTAATGTTAAGTGATAATAATCAGAAATCTGACTTATTCAGTGTATTTTCTGTTAGAGAAAAACTAAAATTCATGTAACAAATAACACATGTACTAAACAGAAGTAGCACATAAATACATGTAATTTTTATAAAGATACTTTTCATAGTCTGCTTATGTGTTTGGGTTTATATAATACTTAAGTAATGAGCTATAAATTTATTGTAGTAAAAACATCTCTTGGGCTGGGGAGATAGCTCAGCCATCTAAACGCCTTCCTGGCAAGTGCACAAATCCAAAAATCCAAATCAATGCCATGCTGACCACAACTGTGGCAGCTCTCAAACCCAGCACAGGGGTGCACGCCTGTAATCCCAGCATTGGAAGGCCGAGATGGAAGCATCACTATGAGTTTGAACTGAGTAGTGAGATCCCATATCCAATTAAAAATATGTATCTATTAAAAAAAGATCTCTTAAAATCTAAACTGATATGCCAAGCATGTGTGTGTGTGTGTGTGTTTTTTTTTTTTTTAACAAAACCAGGTACAATAAAGTTGGAGAATTACTAAAATAGAATACAGGAAAAAGCAAAAGGAAAATCACTCAGAAGTAAAGAAGCTCCTGCTAATTTATAGTACTTATTCCTTTGTGTTTTAAAATGTAGCTATTATAGGCAAAAATTCAAATTGTGACAGAGGAGAGGGTGGGAGATGCAGCAACCACGGATTAGGCTTTAAGCAAAGACCTGAGGCAGGACTGGTAAACATGAAAAGAAACTAAAACACATAGATACACATTCTGTTTGGTTACTTAACCTGGTATATTAAATATGAAAAAAATCATTTTAGATTTCAAGAAAAATATTTACTGAAAATACTGAGTTTTTTCATGAAAGAAAATAGTGTATCTAAAAGCTATTACAAGCAAAAAGTTTTATTGAAAAATCTACTATTGTATCAGCACAATACTAGTTTTCAGCGGCCACAGAATGGACTTCAATCCCAACAGCAATACATCTCACACTTTGCTTCTGAAATTCAGTGCTCACCTTTAAAGTATTTCACAGTTTTAACTCTCAGCTCTAAAGTAGCATCTTCATCACATACGAAAATAGTTCTGGGATGCTGCTGGAAAGCTGACACAGTCCACATATGGTTGACTCCTTCTTCGATTGCTTTGTACAAGGCAAATGCTTTGTGTGCACCCGTTATGAGGATCATAACCTGAAAAGTCATGCACATTCATTATTAAATAATAGTTAAAAACATGTTCCAAATGAGGTGCTTGAATTACGAGGTTGTAAGAATACTGCAAAGTTTAATTAACACAGTACTGATATGTAAGAGACCTAGAAGACTGAAGAAAAGGAAACCAAAGTGTCTTGCAAAATTATTTGTGTTGAAAGGATTTATATCATCTCAGTAATACAAAACATCACTCTAGTGCAGATAAGCAAAGCTATTATAAAAAAGCAAGACTAAAGAGACCTTCCAAGTGCTGTCCAGAGAAGTCAGACTACCACTTCACTGAATGTGTGTAATCTAGGGTTGTTTCAAACAAAAGTAGAATTAAGGCCTTGGTCCTAAATCGCTAACTGCCTATAAAATCAAGCAACATATACAAATGTCAAGTGTATCAGAATAAATCTTTTGATTTTAGCAATAAATCTATCACAGTTTGCAACTCAAGACTGCACATAAGTTTATGTAATGTTTCATAATTTTAAAGATATTATAATTAATAAATGTTAAAGTGATGGCTGGCAAGATAGCTCAGCGGACTAAGGGCCTGCTTAGGAAAGCACAGGGACTATGGTTCAATCCCCAGCACCACATGCTGCACCGACCCTGCCCCCAGGGCGCTGAGCCAAGACCCGGTATGATGGTGCATGCCTGTAATCCCAGTGCTGGGGAGGCTGAAAACAGGAGGGTCACTACAAGTCTGAGCTGTGTAGTGAGACCCTGTACCAAATACAAATAAATAATAAATAAATGTTAAAGCAGTTGTAGGTCAGATTTGTAACAACAAATTTAGACTGTACAGTTTTCCGAAACAGGAAGGAATGCTTAATGGATTAAGGCATTATTTATTTTTTTCATAATTCAGTATTTGATTTTCATTTTGAAGTTAGATATTTTTAAAATCAAGATCTGTCATTCAAGGTCAGTGAAGACTCAGGACATAAGAGAATCTGTACTGTAACAACATGTAACTCATTTGTGCTCCAAATTTTCTGATCAAGAAGATTATGGAGCCACAGAAGAATGTGTTCAATGATGTAAAGTGAGCCTGGGGAGAGTCACATGGAGAGAAAAAACATTTTCTCAAGCTTTCACAGAGAGCAAATTGGTCAAGCAATGGCCGTGACTCATCCTCAGGTCAGACACTGACAAAAGGATGTACAAAAGGCGGTACAGTGCTCCAGGATAAATCCTGAGAGTACTTGGCTGACCTTATCAGATACAAGTTACATTTCTTGGTATATAGGTCTTGCTATATCTTGGTCTTAACCATCCAGCAGAAAAGTATAAAAACGAGGTATATAAAGTAAATCCATATTAATACAATGAGCTGTAAAAGGTTCAAGCCAATAACTTCTGAGGATAACCCACCAATATTATAGACTGCTAGACAGTGTTAGATTGTTTAGTTGAACTCAAACACCTATAGTATTTAGATGCCAATAGAATATTCACCTCTGACAGGACAAAAGAAAAAAAAATAAAAAGGATACAAAGGAAAAATCATTTTGTATTTATATATACAACATAGTTAGGATAAATTTACAGCTACTTTCGCTTAACTCAATGAGAAGAAAGAGGTGTACTAACAGTGTTTGGGCAGAATATCCTGTCTGCTTCTTGTACTATGGATAACCACTAAGAAGATAACAATGTACAGTGTATTGATTATCAAAACTGTCCTATTAATCAGCTGTGAAACTGTCTCATTCATATTTCTCAATAAAAAAGTTGTTTTACAGGTGGGAAAAAAAAAGATCTGTCAGAATTTCTAATTTTATTAATCCACTTTGTTAAGTGTAAGGATCAATCTTAAAGAATTTAACATGCTATCAACTATAATTACAAATTACATTTACTCTTTGAAACAAAAATTATGTTTGATAACAGTGTGAATACATTATTAGCCACTTTTTGTCTTAAAATACAACTGTGTGTTACAAAAAAAACCTGAAAACAAAACCAGAAAAATACAGATTTTTGTCTCCATTCCAATGCCATACAATTCACAGTATCTGTGATCTAGGAAACAGACCCTCTAAAGTGGTTGTTATAAGTACACTGTGGCAGAAGTCCTTCGACTGGCACTTGAAGAATTTCTATAAAGCTACTTCAGTGATTTGTAGAAAATGGTAATATTTACTGATTGCTACATAAAGATACTTTCTAATGTTTATTTCAGGAAATTTTCAAATGAGATTTTAAAATTCAAGAAAAGTATAGAACTCAAAACTTTACTTGAATTTTGCCACATAACTCCCGAGAATATGAAATAAAAATTATTACTGTTTTACACATAAGCATAGGTACCCTGTAAGTTGCCAAAAGTCTTGACAGGGCCAAGACACAAACAAGTGTTTTGATTGTAAGGTCCACACTCTGAACAATTAACATTATTCTGTCTCTTCAAAGACAAAAAATTTAAAAAAATTACATGGAACAACAATCAGAAAATATGAGTAAGGAGTCTTTAATCATCGAGGCATACCTGATCAGTAGCAACAGATCTCAATATTAAACGTACACTGGAAAAAACATGAAATGACACTTCATTGTACGGACTAGCACACTAAAGCTGGATTAGTATTAACAGTACAAAGGGAATGAAAAGAGCAGAGGCTGGAAGAAACTTAAGAGTCAGATGAAAAATAATTTGATATTTATGGCTAGTCATAAATATAAGAAATACCAAAAATCACTAAAAATAGCTCTCAAAATATAACTGATACTGATTTGTAACTGATACTGATACCCATTCTAACTTCCATTATTTTTAATGATAAAGTCCTCATATGAAAAAATGACAGCCTCATATTATACTTTGAGATGCTTTCTCAAATGACAGAATCTGTCATCAGTTTTTGCGTGTAGACATCAGTGCTGCTTCTACGTGCTCTGATGTTTGAGAATCAGTATGGACCATTCAGCCTTAAGACAGCAAGGAGGCTAGGACAGGTACATACAGTATTGTACTTAACGTATAAAATCTATACATGTAAAATAAAGCACAGTAATAATATGACAGCAAAGCTCTGGAAAAGCTGTAGGGTAGCTCCTCTAGGAAGCCAAGTCCCATGAACAAATAAAAAAATCTCCAGATAAAGGGTGTTTCAGAGTTAATGGGGTCCTCGACCAAAAACTAGAGCCAAGCACCACTGCACACGCCTGTAATCCTAGCACTTGGGAGGATGAGGTAGCAGGACCTCTGTGAGTTCCAGGCCAGCCTGGGCTACAAAGACCCTGCCTCATAAATAAATAAGTAAATAAATAAATAAGAGCTAGGGATGTAGTGCGGTGCCAAGGCCCTAGGTTTAATTTCTCCTATGGAGGAGGGGAGAGAAGCTAGAGGTTTGATAAAGATAGAACACAGGGAACCAAAAGAAAATGGCTGCAAACTGATTGAAGTCAGAGATGTTTTGGCCTGAGTGATAAGACCTGATTTTATAATGGAGTAATAGAAAAGGTACACATACAGTTACAGAGGTAATATATTGAAAAATGACTTTGAAAAAATTATCCAGGCAGTAATACACTGACTGGCACAGGTAAAGATCAGAAATAACCCTGTTAAGATGGGTTTCTACCTCAAAAAAAATTAAGAAATTTAATTAATGTGGTTGTCAAGAAGGCTGGCTACCTATTTATACAAGTTATTTGTAAATGGTTAGGACTTAAGACAAAGATTAAATGTGGAAAAGAAGATTAGATATCTAGATGTCAGCAGATAGTAGAAACTCTCTGTGCAGCTTCAGAAAGACAACTGACTAAAAATATGCATCAGCAGGTTCTCTGTATTGAGAGAAACGTATTTTAGAACAGCGATGAAGGTACTGGCAAGTGTGTTCAATCCTGTGTCTATTATGGACTGCAGAAGTACTTTTATAGTACTCATCAGAAGCACTAAATCATGGGGAAGATTGCCCAGGCAGAGTAGAGAGATATACAGTGCTACAGTGAAGTTGCAGGAAAAAGTAACAGCCATAGGCAGATGAAAGAAAAAGATCTGGGAAAGCTGGCACAGAAGAAATGGGCAGACAGGAAAGAAGACACGGAGTTCTATAATGACAGAGCAGTCAATAGTAATAAATGATAAAAAGAGGCTGGGTAGGTAACACTTGCCGAGCAGTCATTGGTCACCTCTGTAACTCATTATGCAGGAAAACATACACTTTACAAATTATTGGTGTTCCTGTATGTTGTTATAAGAATAGCCAAACAATTAAAATTATATTCTAAAGATGCTGCAATAGCTAAAGAAAGTTTGTGTCTTTCGAAGTCACTTTCAAAACACATGGCATTATCTTAAGCTGTAAACAAATTTTACTTTTTCAAGGTAAGTGGCTTCTGAAGAAATAGTCCAAAGTCATCAGAAATACATTCTAGGGCTGGCTAGATAGCTCAGCAGACTAAAGTGCCTGCTTAGGCAGGTGCAGGGACAAAGGTTCAATCCCTAGTGTGCCATGCCAGCCCCACTCCCGTGGTGAGCAGAGAGGGTGATTGAGACTGGATGTGGTTGTACATACCTGTTAGCCTGAATATTTTTAATGGATAAAAGTTTATAAAAGTTTTTTAATTCATGTCTTCAAGCACCGCCTAAACAGTGAGATAATGTAAATTAACAACAAACACTAATAACTTATTCACATTTATTGAGGGCTTAATTTGTGCTAGCCACAAAGCTGTATCCCAGCGCTTGGGAGTCTGAAAAGAGGAGGATCACTACAAGTCTGATTTGTGTAGTGAGACCCTGTAGACCCTGCAGTAAGTACATAAAAAAATAAAATAAAATCCTTCTTCTAACTTACCTATTGTGAAAAATGAGAAACTCCTATATTTGGAATGATAGTTTTATTAAACCTACATAGAATTACTTATCCATCATGTTTATCCTTTTTCTCTGAACCTGTCCAATCTTGCTATCTAAAAAGAATAGAGATCTAGACTGCTACATAATTTAAACAGCGGAACCATAAACTGACTGTAATCTGTTGTTCTCAAGGATTGAAAGTCCAATTAAACATTTGAAAACTAGGCAAAGCCTATGGCTCACTGATCATACATTTTTAAATATATTAAATCTGGAACAGATGCAAGCCTTGTTGGGATACCTTTCAGTGAGAAACTTACTGGTTGGTTCTCTACTTCCTTCATACAGCCAAGAAGTACTTTACATTTAATTATCCTGAGGGCTCCAAAATTGGCAAGTGTGCTAATAAGATTGCATCTTTGCTCTGAAAGTCCTTTCATAAGACTAATGCAATTAAAAACAAACCATATGGTCAGTAAGACTTTAGGACCTCAACTGTGATGAAAGAATATACAAGTAAGACACATCAGAAGAGTGGTGTGTGCTGAACTCCTGAACATGGCAATGATACAAAACTCCACGACTGAAACCTTAAACACAATTTATACTGCAAATAAAATGTAAGAAAATATCACTTATAAGTATTACAATCACCTCAAATATTTAAGTATAGAAAAAATAACATTTAATTCTTACTTCTCTAGCATCCATCACTGTCCCCACACCAACAGTTAGAGCCATAGTTGGCACTTTCGATAAATCTCCATCGAAGTATTTCGCATTTGCCAAAATGGTGTCCATTGCTAGAGTCTTTAATCTTGTCCTTGATACTAAACTGGATCCTGGTTCATTAAATGCAATATGACCATCTGGACCTATTCCTTTCAAAAGCAATACACACAGAGATAAGCATAAGGTAAGCTAGATTTCTCACATATAGTAAATATGTTTTCTCAAAGAGCTACAGTTGTTAAGAGCAAGAAAATAATCACAAAGACACTTACCTGGTCTTTATAGCTGACCTGCTAACGCTGCATTAAAATATCTGTGTATTTTTTTTACTTAGGAAACTATTTCCACGTGTTTATATGTACAGCATAGAGGTGGCAAGATTCTAATAATAACACTAAATTAAGTGTGAAGTTAAGTAAAATTAACACATTAACATTCATAAATCACTTTCACGTAGATTATAGCACTAGCGCTACTAGATGGTAAGATGAGGCAAATCTATTTTCATCCTTCCATCTTTTTGTTAGTACAAAAGGAAAGTGAATGGTCAAAGAAAGTAAGGGACCCTTTCAAGGTGACTTACAATTTAGTAAATACTAAAGCTGACTCCAATCTAAATATTTTGATTCATAACATAGTGCTCTTTGTACACCTGCTTTAATTTGCTTGGTTCTAGTCAAAAAAGGGGTCATTACCTAGCAGGACTTTTTGTAGTATAGTTTCCTCACATATACAAATATAGATTGGACAATTTTTCAAACATTTTTGAAGAAATAACAGTCTTATCTTAAGAAATAACATTTCACATTACCATCTAGTCCATATGAACAATCTCACACAAACATCTAAAATACAATTAAAGTGAACATTATACAAAATGATATATGGCACTGCTGGGAACTACACAAGCTATCTTCTATTTTATTAATAAAAAGGAAGTGCAAGTTGTGACTTTGATTTTGCAACCACAGAATAAAGGACAATCACAATTTAAAAAATACTACTTTAAGGAGAATCACAAATAATTCTTCTATTCTAGGATTGCCACTAAAATACAGGTACAAACATAGTATTTCATATTAAAGAAGAAAATGGGAAGAAAGTTTTTACAAAATAATCTATAAAATAAATGAGCTTTTATACACTCATCCTAGTAAATGTATGGCAACTTCAATTAAAAACTAAACGTTCTCTAACTCATTAAAATATCTTTTACATTAATACCCTCCATATTCACTTTCATAATAACTTAGGCATATTTTACTGACAGCACACAACTCTAATATAAAAACTGCATAGACCACAATAGTATAAACTCTCACAGCTACCTAGTTTTTAAGCGCCAAGGAAAAAACGAATGTGAAACAAATACAGCCCTCTACAGCACAACAATCTAAGAAGGGTTAATGTAGTGTCATAAGTTTTTAATGTGGGAAATTAATATCGAAGGATAATGTCCCCTATTAAGTACATGTCTAGTTGTAAATCTAACTTTCAATTACACCCATCTGTCTACATTTGTAAAAATAGTTTCTCCTCTTAGGTGTGCATAAATATTTGTCTTTATATGTGTAAAAAGCAAAAGATGGAACTAGAAAAATAAGATCTCCAGAAAAAATAGATTCAACTAAGGGCGACACTAGTGTTCTTTCTGGTGACGTTGGTCATACAGAAGGAATTATGCACAGAGGTTAATAAGAGACACGTCAACACATTCATTAATGTTCATGAGTAACTCAAAAAGATTGCTCATGCAAGTTTTTAGTTGGCTTATCCTTGTTCAGACTTTTTAAATTAAGATACTAGTATCCCTAGTAACTGAAAAAACTCACTGACTGATACATGTCTTTCTTGTGTTCTTTTTAGTTTTTTGGTAGAATATAAATTTCCTGAGTAAGAGCTGTATGTTCATGCATCTTTACGATTTCAAACAACATATTACACATAGGAGGCACTCAAATGATGGCTGAATCAATGGATGGGATGTGTGGTTTTCTTTTGCTAATTCAGTAGTTCCTTCTGTCTACATCTCTTTTGCTTCTCACTCCAAGGGCTCAGGGGAGCATAATGTCTTATGTCCCATCAAGCAGAGTGACTGTGGTCTAGAGATAAACACTAATGCCAAATGAACCAAACAGTACCATTCTCCAGGTACAAATAATGACATGGGAGACAGAAAAAAACAGAAGATGTCTAAAAGTAAGACACTAGTCGGCAGCACTGCACAGAGAAGGCTGAGGTGTTCCTATTTCTGAGAGCTGAGGTTCTCTTGTTTTTCCACAGCTATTTCAATTCTTCCTTCAGTTTTCTGAGTTACCCAAACCATTCCAACTAATTTGCTTCCTGTCCCATTCGTCACCTTCTGTTATTAGAAAACTAAAGAATTCAATTTTGTAGCAAAGCAAATCAACTAAATACTGTCCTATCTTAAAAAAAAAAAAAAAAAAAAAAGATACTAGATCTGTTTATGCATCTCTTTGATTTGTTTGTGCATCTCTTTGCTGGGGCTAGGTTAGAAACATGATATGCTTTCTCTTAACACTTTTGCCATTACAAGAAGAATGAAAATTTTTGAGAGTATATACATATACTCTTCCTTTCTTATCAAGTAAAGGGACCGCCTGCTCTAATTCCCTGGGGTGAGCACATTAACATCGAGCTCATTCTGACTTCAAGACCAACCTACAATCTCTGTTCCAACTTTACCTTCAATAAAGCTGACATTTTGATCCCATTTGGCAGTTCTTAGTGTTTTTATTAACCAAACCCTGGAACAAAAGAAGGGCGAGTGGTAAGACCCCGATACCAAGCCTTGTCTTGAAAAAAATCCAATGATTATCTAAATCAACAAAGAATCAGATCAGATTCTTTCATATACATATGCATCTCCAATAAACAAGTTACTGCAAACAGGAAAAGAAAATGTAAGTGAACTATTTTCTTTTCGCACACAGAGTTTAGCTGGGACATGTGAAATGTCAAGTCCTGGATCACCAGACTGCAATGAACTAAATGGAAGAGACAAGGAAACTTATGAATGGGTTCTGTCTTTGGTGGGGAGGAAAGAGACAATTATAGGACGCTTAAGACAAATTGGTTAAAAATAAAACCAACTCCTTTTCAGTGGTGAGTCAGTGATAAACATAAACAATTACAATTTAAGTCCATCCACTCTGAAGGAGAACTGAGGTAGCTTATAAAATGATAGTGGCCTAAAAAGAAATGAGAAATGACTCACCACTATGCAAAGACAAGGGTTTTTACCAAAAACCTGGTTAGAGAGTTGCAGCCTAAAACTTACCCTACAGTATGAACAGTTTCTTCAAAGCGGGCAAAAGAACAAAATACAGTTAGTCCTTATCAGGTATTTTCCCCAAGAAATTTCTATTTCTTGGCAATGACTCCACTAAGGACTTGCCACACAGATCTGTATGTAAGGTTAATAAACCAACAGGGAAGACAAAGTCCACAGAAGAAGACATCTTTCAAACACTGATTTAAAACAACCTCTAATAATATTCTTTTTTGGTATAGCAATAAACCAGTGGCAACATTTTTTGATGAAACTCAAGTTTAGATATATTATATTCCAGGAATTCTATTTGATTTTGGTGTGGAGCTTAGAAAAATCTAAAATGTAGGTTGTTAGCATACTCCTAAAATACAGGGATGGTGGTACACCTTTATACTTCCAGTACGCTGTAGGAGTACTTTGTAGAAGGAACACAAATTTGCAACCAGCCTGGGCAAATTAATGAGATCCTACCTCAAATATAAAGAAAATATTTTTTTTTAAAGGGCTGGGGCTAAAATAAGCTAGTAGAGTACTCTTAGTTTCAATGTCTAGTAACAAAATAAATAACAACAAAAAAATCAAACATCTAATGTCTCAGGCTTCAAATCTGAGAAAAGCCATATGTATGAAACTGAAATGTGCAAATGTTCTGTCAGATTACAAAAGTAATACCAGCAATTTTATTTAAAACACAGATAACTTGCTATTTTGAAAAACAAAATAGATTAACTTGTATTCTTGCTCAGATAAAAAATAAATTTGCCCATATAAGACAGAAAAATTGGCTTTCCTAAGCAGGAATAGAAATTTCTGTAAAAAGGAATTTCAATTTCACTAAGTATCTTTAGAAGAATTTTAGCAAAAAACCTCAGGAATTCAATAAACTAAGAAACAACTAGGCTAGTCCTTATAGTTTAGAAGTGATGAGACAGAATTATAAAATATATACCATGAACTATTTTTAGACGTTTAAAATGTTAGTGTGCTTAATTCTCACAAATTTTGAAGTGGCTAATACTAAATCATTTTGCAAATAATTTAATTAGAATTGTCAGTAAACTTACCAAAGACATGCAGAGATCATAAAACCAAATTTATGTCTGACTGTAAAACTCAATTCTGTCCCAGAGCAACAAACCACCTCGGGCTGGAGAGATGGCTCAGTGGTCTAAAGCACCT